TTACTTCCATCATCTTTCTCAGCAGGAGTTTTGGAAACAGGAGATCCAGGTGAATTGGCAGAGACAGTCTCAGCGTTTTGCTTGGCTTGCCTCTTCTTTTTCAAACTGTGCATATAAAAAAGAAAACAAAACACAAGATGAAGACATAGCTAACCTCTGCAAACAAGTTAACTCATTTGCTACCTTGATTTTTAAAATGAATTGAACATCAAAATTGCTTGTAGCTTTGTAAAAGCCAGATTTTGCACGTGTATCTCGTATTATTCTAGGGCATGCTCTTCAATCACTGTATCACCACATGTAGGTTATCTTTTCAAGAACAATTTTTATTTATTTATTTTTTTTTAAAAGATAATGCTTTTACTGTTGTTTCCCCTGTTCCTCTTCCCTAGTAAAAGAAACAAAGAACAGTCAAAAAATTGTTTTGTTTTTAAGCAAATACATCTACCTTTAGAAAACAGAACCATGTTTTCAGGATGAAACTTAAAATAAAACTTCAGATCCTAATGTATAATAATACAACACCTAACAGTAATTTCATGGTCAACTGCTCTTGCTTTATAGAAAGCTGCTTGTTTTGATATAAACTTGTTATTTATTTCTATTTTGTCCAAGGTTATCTACCAGTGGCCACCCACACTAACCGACACGTGCTCTTGCACAGCTCACGTCACCTTGCATCTCAGGTGTCACCAGCAGCTCATTCAGCAGCGTGACCCATGTGGTTGCAAACTATTTGCACAGAAACATTTTCCAGACCTTTGATCTCTTTTGAGAAAAATGTTAATGCCCTGCCAATAAATCTGACAAATTACCACCAACAAGAATATTTCCTTTTTAGAAGAAGCCTTAAAACACAAGCTCAAGCGAGAAAGATGCTGCAGGAATCCTAAAACCATTTTCTGCTAATTCATCATCTTTGCCATGGACTTTCAGGAAGAACAACGCTTGCTTTCTGGGCTGAGGGTCAGGGTCACTAAAATACCCTCAGTTACCACTTGTGTAAGAACCACTGATGCATTCCACATGGAACAAAAACCTAATGCTTTGCCCTAACACATTCACTTCTTAGTTACAAGGTACCTAAGGGAGGGAGTGGTAAATTAAGTTTGTTGCGGCTAAAAAATCAGCTACATGCACAGTAAGAGATACAGACAGAAAATACAGACATCCAAAGATTCACCACAAATGTGGAAAGATTACGTGACCTCCAGGAGCAGTTTAGGGAAGTATGGAAAAACTTTATGGTTATGCAGGAATCTGAGAGATGGTTCTTTCCACCACTTCCATATTCTAACAATATATTTGTTTCAGGCTACAATATAAAAATAAATACACAGAACAGTGAAAATTGTATTAAGACATTTTAGGCTACAAACCACTTTTGTTTACTTTTTGGTGATTTTTTGTTGTTAGTTTGTTTTTAAAACCATTAAATCCAGTTCCCAAGTTTGAGACTCCTAAGCAGGGTCAGTCTGACAGGCCACACGTAACCAGCGTTTCCCAGCGAAGCATTCCAAAAGACAGTCTCACAAAAGCAGTGTCTGTCTCACACATCTGCATGCACATTTCTTAAATGCTTTCCACTACCTGCAGCCAACTCAGTAGGGACGGGTCCTACTCATGCAGCTGTTTCTTAATTGCTCAAACCACAGATCTGGGAGGCAGGCAGTAGAAGCTCACGCTCTGCACAGCAAAACAGGTTCTGTATGTGTGAAATTTTACGGACCAGGTCCTGACTACATATATATATATGAAAACAGCCTACAGAGACTTCTGAAAGATAAAAGTGAATACATCTATGTATCAGATGAAGTGCTTTGTTTAGATTAGAGAAAATTTGGGTATGCAAAGGAAGCTTATCTTTGACTAATAAGGCACAAACCCGATCAAAGGCTGCTCTAACAGCTGCAAAACATTGCAGTCGCATTGCTTATACAATGTCTATAATTAGCCCTGGTAGAAGTCTCTACAGAGCAGCCTGCTCCACTAAAACAACACATCCTTACCTCATGGCTGAACTTGGTTGCTGCCTTGTAAATGAGACATGCCCCTGAGTTTTTACTCCGGTGCCACAATGACCGTCCTGCATGCATGTGCCGACCCCACACTGCACATACCACGCACCCTCCAGCAGCCCCAGCACACCACTGCTGCTGCAGATGGGCAGGGGTGCCCGTAAATCATATCCTGTCTTCAAGATGTACACCAGATTTTCAGCTAATGCCGAGCCTGCTCGTCCTGCCCACTCCTCCATTTCAAGGCAATGAGCACCCAACTCCCAGAGCGGTGACCCTGAAAAAGCACTGGATGAGGACTGAGTACCCGTGATGTTCACCACAGGAGCAGGAGTCACCGCAGCTCTGCCTGGGGTTATGATCTGTGCTGACAAGATACTGCTTTTTAAGGTTTCTAAAGCCTGGCCAAAATTACCCCCCAATTTACTCACTTTTCAAAGACCTCAGCTGAATTCCCTAAGGAACCAAAAACAAGCCTTCAACACCATTTAACCCTGTAAAACCAGCCTCATATTCACTACGTGTTTTGCCTTTATTAAGTACACCCTCTTAGAACAGCAAAACCAAAGTCCTGTACGTGCACAAGGCAATTCATTACCAACATGCACTGGCAGAGCGCTGCAGAGATTGGGCTCCATGGCAGGAGAGCCACTGCATATTAAACAAAACTTCATCCCCTTGGGCACCCCTTCAGCATCTCCCACACCAGACGGCAACCCCAGGAGGGCTGAAGCACTGACTCAACTGAAATGCCCAACAGACGGTCAAATGGGAACTGTGTATTGCTCAATAATTGACCACAGGCAAAGAGCAGCAGGTCCACATCGCAGCAAGGCTCACGAGCAATCCTGCTCATGCTAAGGTTTTAAACTCTTCCTATCTTGAACAAGTGATACTGAGGGTCTCACCTGCTCTTCTCCCAGCTCTCTGTTATTTCCTACACTTCCTGGCAAGAATGGTCATGGAAAACTTATTTAAGAATATAATTTGTCAAACTATTCTTTTTTTGACTGCTTTGGAAGATTTCTAGTGGTTTTGCTCTGAACAAAAGCGTTGTTGCTTCTGAGAGAGGTGGCTGATGCCCCATGCCTGTAGGTGTTCAGGAGGGATTTGGATACTGCCCTCATTGACATGCTTTACCTTTGGGCTAGCCCTAAAGAGGTTGGGCAGTCGGAGTGGATGATCTCTGAAGGCCCCTTCCAGCCGAACTATTTTTTACCTTACAAGAGCCAGAGCTGAAGGCCACATAAATAAATAAAGTCCTTCAGTTTGACAACAATGTCAGGTTTTGCAATTAAAACAGCCTTTCAGACAAAACAATGTGCATCTGGACAAAGTATTACTGCAGATGATGTTTGTTTTTCAGTATCACAGTCGAGGAATATGCCGTGCTTCACCAGGAAAGTTGCTGGGGAAGGAAGAGGGGGAGAGAAAAAGGGAGGGCTGGAGACAGTTTATCTGCAAAACCACTGCTGTTTCTGAAGAGTCTTACACATCTGCAAATTCATTTAGACAACAGATAGAGCTTTTCACACTAATTGGTTCTGACAGGCAAAGCACCTCTTCGGTATTTACACAGAGGCATCGTTTTAGTGCTCCTCAAAGCATTTTCTGAGCAACAACTGATACTCCATTTTCTAAATTTGTCCAAATATGGTTTTCCAGTAAAAGCTTTCAGTCTATTACCATGAAAAATGGATGGCATGGGAGCTTTACTACCAAATCCCATGAAAATCAGGGGGAACTAGTTTTTAATGGACACTGGGAGCTGGCTGCAGAGATTTCTGGCACCTGCTCTTTAGCCTGAACATGGAACAAGAGCATTTTGCAACACAAAGACTGTTCTCATATGATTAAATAAGGACTAGTGAGCTGAAAGGCATAGCATTTCAGAGTGGGCAGGTAAAAGTACAATGTCAGCAGGGCTTGCTTAAATTAATTTGCAACTGATTTAGAAAAAAAGAGTCTGGGCACTGACTTACAGGAGAAGAGCCAGGAAACATTAAGAAATTACCTAGTTCGTCTTCCAGATCAAAGTCTATTTGATTGCCTACAAGAAGCAAATAAATATGCATTTTTAGAATAAAACGGATGGAGTTTCCCATATCACCAAGATAGGTCATTAGTGTAAAAAGCAAACTGATCAGACAAAGGAGAGGTGATGCAATCTGCAAAACCTTCACTAGAAGACTACAAGCAATCAAGAAAACAATGCATCCCTGATATGAGAAAATAAAGAAACAAATCTAACAGTAAGATAACTTTTTTTTTTCTAGAAAATGCATTTGGTTTCAATTCACACTTATTCATCTGAAAGGCCCAACTAGTAATTGAATTGGAACTCATTTTGTGTGTATTCAATAAGTAATCACAGACAAAGAGCACGAGGTCCCCATCAATGGTTGTCCTAAAAACCTCCCAGGTTATTAAGACAAGGCTGGTTTTTGTGTGTGTATCTGACATACCATCAGCATAACACCCTGCAGAGCACAAACAGATCAGGTTCCACAAACACGTTTCTTTTAATTCATTATTCGTGCATACATGCAATAAGGTTAAACAGAAATTGCGAAACTCTTCAACTATTTTAATCCCCTTTGTTCCCATCAAGATTCCTGTAAATTTGCCCTGTGCACAAAATCATATACACATTTTTTTCCTTCAGAATTAATCATTTTCATCTACATTTTACAACTCTTCACTCAATAGCTGTACTAATTTCTTTGTATGCTACATGCCTTTCTCCACCCATCCAGAACAGCTGAATAAATCAAATTCATTGTGTTCAACAATTACGTACAGAAACCTTGCAGCATGACTGTGCTGCGATCTGATCTGATGTAGCCTGATGAATAAGTGATCTCAGGCAAAGCAAACCATTACTGCTTGCAGAGCCAAAGGAAGTCAGCCTGCTTGCCAAACTGTAACGCCTTCTCCCGACTTCCTCAGTGCAGCTACTTTCACTTCACAACAGCACGGAGAAGTGTTCATCCCCAGTGAGAGATCTCAGTAAATAGTGGCCACCCTGCAAGAAAGCACGCTCCAGCAAACAGCCGCCGCCTCAGGCTGGTGTGCATCCTGTTCTGGAAATGAGTAAGCCACAAGGCTGTATGTTTACAACTGAAACAGACTGGTAGGGGAAAAATAAGGGAAGGCACGCATTTTTGTTAATTTCAGTAATTAACTGGAGGGGGGAAAAACCTATGATAAAAGTAGCTCTGAATAAGCTATCAAGGACATCACGCACGGCTGCAATGAACTGAGAAGTGCCCACGCTCTGGCCATACTCTGCCAGGTCTTCCCAATGACAACGCACACAGCAGCTACAGAAACCTCTGGTATTGGTACCACAGGTCAAAGCTGGAAAATTCTACCTTTATTGGAACTCCTGTTACTAATTGACAACAAATACCAGCTCTGGGTTTTATACATGGTCAGCCATCAGCAATGCTCAAGGAAGGAACCATGCTTCAAGGAGTAAAGTGCTGTACTGACAGTTCAGGTATGTCCATTTCTTCCTGATATTGCCAGTAGCTTACATTCACATGTCCCTTTACCTTTCCCTTTACCTTTGTTTCATCATCTGTAACATGGAGGAAATGATTTGTAGCCATACTATTCCGGAATCCAAGAAAGGCTGTACCTTCGGATAGGAAACTGTTCTGAGATTAAATGAGAAAATGTTATTTTTTCCCCAAGTCTTCTGCTGAATCTTAAATAATCTACTTAAGCTCTCTCTTATGTTAATTTTAGACTGGGGGGGGGTGTTCACAGTTTCCCAGGGTAAAACTCAAGGGAGTTTTGAGCTCTCCGAAAGGTTTAATTTTCTTAAATTTAGGAATACAGTGCTCCCACAAATAAACTCTGTTTTCCAAGCCATGAAGTATCCCCATCTTTTCTGTTTACTTAGTGAAAGAGGTTATGAAGCATTCAGCACTCCATTGCCATGACAACAACTTAATGAAAACCTTTCCATAGGGACAGGATTTTGGAAAGCTGTTTTAGTCTGATTTAGACATCTATTTAATTCCGTCTTTTATAGCCTCAGTTACTGCATGCTCTTGAAGAGGAGCTTTAGACAGAATGTAAAATGAAGAGATCTCTCCCTTAAGAGTTACTCCTTTAACTTTGCCTTAAATTCATTGAACAGCATTGTTCGATTAAATCCACACCACAAATCTATCTCGCCGCAAATACCAACCTGACTTTTATCATAATCCCATCCTGCTCCCCCTCTTCTCCTTTGCTAACAACACCAGACACTTCTCATACCATAGTGCTCATGAATCATCCCAAACCCTCTCCTACACATGCAGTGAATTCCTCCCAGGCTGGCTCAGTGAGACACTTTTGCTCCATTGGAGCCTCTTGCTGGGGAGGAACGGCCTTGACTGGTCCCCTCCGGCTGGTGCACGCCGCTCCATCCGCTCCCCGCTTGCTGAAGCTCTACTCCCGCTGACAGCCACGTGCTGGAGCCACAGAAACCACAGCTGTGCTCACACGGCTGAGCTGGACAGTACAGGGAGGCTGCACGGCTTCTGCACAGGACAGTCACACTGTACTGAACTGCGAAGATTATTTGATGAAGACAACAAGCACGTGGTCATCAGGCTTGCTGAAGTATGTTTGATCCCCAGAAGTTTCATCAATTCCTCCTTCTTTGCTTCAGTTACGGGTTCTTCAATAAACCCAACTTCCATGAGACCAAAAGGAAGGATCTTTTAGATTACTAATTGATTAAATAGGGAAATAAATGCAAGAATTGAGAACTTCAGAAAAAAAAATAGAGAAGCCTACAGGATATTAGTAGTCCTACAGGAATGTGTATTGCTCAATGCAGTCAGCACTACTCACCCACTTTCTTAGATAAGTGCCATATTTTCTTGCAAATATACTCAGATTTAGTTTTGATTAAACCGAAAAGTCAGAAGGAAGTTTAATGCTCAGTGACTAAAATAGCAATAAACATTTACAGTGAAGCAATAAAATAGCAAATGAAATTCAATGGTCAAAGCAAAATCCAGGGGAAAGAGAATCCTAACGCAACACGCATCGTGCAGCAATAACGTAGCTGGGACCCACCTCCAAAAGAAAAACCTAGGGAATGGTATTTCAGTATTGTACCTACAACGTGTATTGGGGTCATAACGATAAATTGTTTCATGTAATACTGCCAGACAAAGTGATAAGCAGCTAAAAATAAATAGCTTAGGCATGCTGTGCTTGCTAAAGACATAAACAGATACAAAAAGCAGCCGTGAACATTCATTGTGACTGCTCCTTCACGCAGCAGTGCCAGTTCAAAGGCACTTTGCTGAGACTGCAGGGCTGGTCAAACTACAGCCTTCTTTGCATTATCAGGCTGAGATCCTCACACAGAGGAAGCCAGAAAGCCAAACCAGACACGGGCTACACGATGTCCACCCAGCCCTTGGACAAGAGCACTGAAGTAATTGTGGGATCTTCTTCCCACTTGTCCAGAAAAGGCACTTTGACGATGGAAATGTTTCAGTAGGGTTTGAGTTGTGAGAGCTGGGAGGAGTGTAGCTGTCCCTACTGCAGAAAGCAGGGAAACAGTGGCACTGCTTCCCCAGCAGCGGTAGGGAAGAGAAGAAAACGCGTTTTTCTTCTTAAAGTAGATCCTTAACTTGATAAATGAAGTCATCTGGCTGACTTTGCCACCAAGGTAAGGGGAATTAGAAAGTAACCATGGCTAAGTCAGAAACCATAGTACAGTCAAAAGTTTTCATTATTTCTTATTTAAATGACCCTTAAAAGGGATGTCGTAAGGAAGGGAGGGGACTGAGACTGAAATCACTTATCTGTGCGTTAGCTTTTGCTTTTATTTAAAAAGTTACTTTGAAAATCACCATTCAAATGTCAGGGCTACCTGCACTATTGCACTATTCTGCACGGCACGCCCGCCAAGGCAGCTCAACACCAGGACGCCAGGCGGCACTGGAGCTATCCAGCTGCCACCAGCATTTCCCTGGGGTTCTGCTGATCACATCTGGGGCTCATAAGGGATACGGTGCACACGCCCACAAGCTGGTTGCAAACTCATCTGTTCAGGAACAAATTTACAGCACGAAGCACTGTGACACAAGCGGAAAAAGCTTCTATTTAAAGCATTTCAGAGGAGTTATTAAAAACACGTCTCACTACGTGTCTCGGCTCTCCAGCTCACTGTGTGTCTCAGTTCTACGTTTGCATTCATTGCTCCCAAACAACCTACAGGCTATTTAGCAGGCTGAGAAGTTTAATTGGCTTCTGAAAAGAGCTCCAATTAAGTGACACTCAGCACAGGAGAAGAAACACGCATGTATGTGGAAGATCCTGTGATTTGGCTTAAAGTTCAGAGAAACACCCAGCAATGCTGATAATGGCTGGGGAAAAAGAAGAAGCTGCAGCTTTTGTGTTTGGATAATGATGTTGTTTCATACAATGCATATTTCATACCTGAGAACAATAATCCTCCTCAGGAAGCATTTGTATCCGTGCTTCTATACCAAATAGCAAGGCACCACCTGGATCAAAAGGTCACTAATCATAAGTATGAAGTTGAGAGGACAGGGCAGGGCTTGCCTACACGGGGCAGTTACATGTACACAGCACGCATGTGTCAGTGCAGCTTGTTGTATGGACATACCTTATTGTGAAGGGATGTGGCATGGCCTGACGCTGCTCGGTAGCCACACCACTATGCTAGTGGGGCAGGTGCTCCGTTACGTTTACAATTTCTCTGTGGTTCTTCTATCATAATAATAAATTACTGTGCTTTCACTTTTAAATGAAAAATGGTTGGGATTTACCACAGGGGGAAAGCAACAGCAGAAAGCAGATCCTGACCACTGGCAGCACGAAGGAAAAGGGGACACGAGTGGTTCTGCTCCACCTCCATGTTCTCCGGACTCCAGGAGCCTAGAGGGCCAGAGTAACAGCTTGGGAAAAAGAGAAGGTTAAAGTGATCCTGAATTTAACTGATCCACTGCATGGACATGCTCCTCAGCCAGGACATGATCCACCACCCTGGTCACAGCTCTGTTCCTGCACATGGCTCCCACAAACCTCGGCTTCAGAAGATTTGATTGTGAGAGATCAGCTGATTTAAACATGCAACGGACACCTTGAAGCCATGTATTTATAGAAGCATTACCGAAAGCAAAAATCCAGCAGCTGACAACACAGAAACATGATGTTAAATCAAAACCATCAAATACAAGCTAAGTTCAGTGTCTATGCGATTGGCTAGATGCTAAGTCTAAGCCTGCTGAATTAAATACAGGCACTCCAGAAAAAAAAAAAAAGAGGTAAAAGCCTGAATTTATTACCAGTAGATGAAGTGCTACACAAGTCACATTCTCCATGCCAAAGAGACTGCTGCCCGACAGGAAAGTGCTCAGTGCATTAAGACACTCAGAGCCAGCTGCCTGATTTATGGCTCATTTGCATTACAAAGGGCAATTCTCTTCCTACCCCCTGAATTCCTAACCAATTTTGCTGCTCTCCCTGGGATTTCCTCCCACACAAATCAACAAGAAAAATCCCACAGACCTCAGTGGTGGAGCATCACAGACTCAGAGCACAGTTAACATACATCCTCAAATTTCAGCTGATCCTAGGCAACAGGCCCTGCCCAAACTACAGAGTAAGGCAGAAAAAAAACACAAACCTACACTTAGAACCCACTCCTTGTAACCGGATTGGCAGGAGCAAGACAGGGCTTGGAGGAATTGTTCCCAAATCCAATCTGGAGGCTGGGTTAATGCCGAGGGCATGGGAACACACCAGCCTGGCACCACAGAGAGCCTAATGCCATGAAGAATTGCAGCACAGGCTCCTACGCTGCTCCAATTCCTCCGAAGCCCCATAGAAGAGGAAAAATAAAGAGCCTGCCTCTCTCCAAAAGCACACTCCTGCAGGCATCATTCACTGGGTACACCACCTTCCACTCCAGACGTGCAGCACCATTATCAGAAGCGGACCCTCTCACCAGCCAAGCCAGCACAGACAACATAGCACACAGCAGAAACAAAAGGGCAGGAGCCCTCAGTCACAGGAGCAGACTTCACCTGTGGGCTAAAAATGCCAGCAACTTTTCCTGAAGGTGGATGCTTAGCACCTTATCAGACCAGGGATTCTCCCAAGAAAATTGTGACAGACCTCCAGACGCTGACTCTGCTCCTTCTCAAAATACTCTGTGCCCCACCAGCCACGAGGCTCAAGGCACGTGAGAGCTCAGCGGGGCTGCTGTCACAAGGTGGTGGGACAGCCAGGATTTCCTGGAGCACAAACAAGGGATGATCAACAGCACCATGGCAGAAATCAGCCCTGCCAGGCATCTCCTCAGGTGCGAGCATCAGCGTGGCTGCTCCTGAAAGGGGCCCCCACTCCCAGCAGCTCCCAGCCAGCAGCACTGCTGCCCACAGGAGACCTGGCAAAAATAAGTCTGTGTGGGACCACCTCTTGTGTTAGGTGCATGCTCTCAGCATCAGCGTAAGGCACAGATCTGCCAGGCATTAGCGCTAGATCTCCACCAGCTTTAAGCAGGCTTAGTTGCTGGGAACAGGGAGAACTGTCTGTAGTCCTAAGAGCAGAAGAGAAAACACTGCTGCGAGGCTGACCCGTGGGCACTACAGCAACACAGCGCCGTCCATAAAGGTAACTGTAAGTCTCACCTATGCAGAAGGCCATCCTTTGAAGCTCCCACGTTTTTACAGCCTTTGAGATGCAATGTCTTTAAATCTCTGAGAGCACAGAGAGAAGTTGCAGGCTGTGCCTGAAGCAGACCTGGCTGCAGGCAGCGTGGGGAGAGGAGAAGAGGAAGACAAAATACATTTGGCTACGTGAGCAGCAAGTCTTATCGACACCGCACAGACTCCTACATCAAAAGGCCTATCGTGTAACTATTTATGTTCGAGAAAAGAGGAGGCTAAATAGGTTTCTTTTCTTACAGTTTCTTTTTAAAAGCTGATAAGAGACACCCGAAGGTCCCTCTGGGAAAAGCAGATATAAGGTCACCGTACACTTGCTGCCTAACAAACCAGCTGGGCACCGATCTTGCAAGTTAACCAGTGAAGATTCTGAAATTGCTGCTATAAGACAGCACGCTTTAAGACTGAAAAAAATGGATCTCTTTTCTCTGCATGTTCTGTGATATGGCCCTCAAGGAAATCAGGAGCATAATGGAACTCTCCCTTTCTTCTCTTCCCTAAAAAAAAGGAAACAAAAAAAACCCACACACTACCACACCCCTTTATACAGAACCCACACTGTTACCGAGTCCCATCACATGCAGAGAGGAAGAAAAGAACGGGTGAGGAGATTAACCATGTATCCAGCCTTACGCAAGCTCTGAATCTCCATAAATAGCATTTCTGGTATTAGAAAATTGCAGAAAACCCTGTCTCAGGGCCCTATTCCATCCTTCCACTGAACTCTGTTACCCAGTAGCAGCATTCTCCTTCAACCATAGGTGACTCCACTACTCTTGAGGACAAAGCACTGCCCAGGACCGGCACTGCACAAGCCACTGTCTTGTTTGTATTTTCCAGAGGAAGCACTGAAATTGAGAATAATTCACGGGCTAAGTAGAGGGTGATAATTCAGGCCGCTCTTCCGCTCTCACCTTGCATCAGAGGATTTCAAGACTGCTAATACAAAACAACAGCAGTGTGAGATGAGGAAACAGTTCCTAAGCAGCAATCTGACATTCTGCTGCAAAACATCACATCTACAGCACGCTTCAGAAACAGCAGGTGCAATTTTCCCCCAACCCTCCCTTTTCAGGTTTTACATCTATCATAAAAAGAAAGCTTTCATTTTTTATATACGTACACAACAGTAAGTATATGAGCAACGTACAGCAAATGTCTCTCAAGCATCGAGGGGATCTCACCACCCTCCCAAAAAAGCTCTATTCAAAATCTTCCCATGCTGCTGTGAAATTCTAGATAGTCTTTAATGCCTGAAAACTGGAGCAGCTGCAGAAGACAGCTGTAGTACTAACCTACACAGCAGCAGGCAGAAAGTCTGCTAAAAACATTGAAACCCTTCCATTTTAAGTAAGTGGAAGCCAAATAGCAACGCTGCATGCTTCAGAAAGTCATTTTTATGGCTTCTCTCAGCAGCCAACGTATCAAATCGATCCCGTGCATACACACATAAATAACAGAGCAAATAATATGCTTGCACCTATAAATCTGACAGACTGATATCTGCAGCCTTTTCTTAGAAAATAGAACACCTCAGGCATACGCATTATTGGTCAAAACAATGGAAATAAACTGCAAAACCATTTTTAGTTCCAATAACAGCACTATGAGGTAATGTTTATGCATCTGGAAGCAGAGCTCGGGAACTTCCATTATACAGATGAGCTGAAATGAAGTATTATTTCCTCAAGTCATTTAAAAAAAAAATTATGCATCTCCAGGACCTTGGCTTGAATATTCTTCACACCCAAGATAAACCTCCACGACGGTTTGTTTTAAAAACAATGTGTGGAAATTTTTCCTTCTGAAAGCAAAAAATAAACCATGGGTGCTACAGGAAACCTGCATAAACATCAGCACTTTGGCTCAGCAGAGCAAGAACAATCGCGAGGAGACAACTGCTGGCGAAACTGTAATGCAAGGAGCACTCAACGTCTGAAGATGCTGTGTGGATGTAATGAGCCTGGCCGACAAGAAAAGCACCTGAAATAAAGATTTATGATCAAGTCTCACGTATAGGAAATGCTTTCAGGGAAGTACATTGGTGTGTTTATTACTTATCTGGGATTCCCTCCTTCCTAGCCACCACTGATACCCTCTCATTCCACACATTCCCTCTGTGCTCATCATATTTTTCTCATTTCACCACTCTCCTATGTCTTAATAGCCACAGGAATGAAAAATATGAAGCATACAAGTACTGAACGAGGCAATAAGAGAGAATAAACCCAGAAGGATTCCAGATGGGTCCGCTTACAGCCTTACTGGTTTGCAACATGCAGCAAACTGACCCAAGGAGTGACGGTGCTGCCCCAGAGCAAGGGTCTGCGTGAGCCAGCCCCTGCCTCCAGCAGCAGGGAAGGAGTGCAGCAGCGAGATGGCTGCAGGTGGCTCCTTCGCCCACTCTTCAGACTCCAGCTGTTGAGAGCTCCTCAGCTAGGTACTGCTGGCTCCTACTGCAACCAACTGCAAGTGTTTACAGGTTAGGGTAAAGTTAGGTTGTAAACAGCTAACGTTACTGCAACGCTGTGTATGATTTACTGTATTAAATTATTTTTAATAGCTAAAAAGAAGTAGAGAAGAAGTAGAAGAGCTGCAAATGAGAGCCAAGTAACAAGTAAACGATAACTGTACTCAACACTCACACACAATCTCTGTACGCCTTGGTTTGAATGTGCAAATCTCAATCTGCATGGATGCAAATTTAGCCATCTAAACCAAGAATCTAAACAAAATTAAAACAAGTTGTGAATTTCATCACTTTCCTTAAATATTCATATCACAAGGCAACATGAGGTGAGTATCAGGCTGTACAACTGGCTTCAGCCTCTGACTGCGTATTAGCAATCTGGAGCTAAATGGAGCCTCTGCCTACTCAGATGGGCTTTGGAGCATGTCCCAGACATTTACATAGGGATTTTTTTTCCAGAAGAATGATGCTAACAAGACAACTGTAAACTCAACAAACACAAAGGCACCCAATTCCCCATGAGAACGTTTTCCCTAATAGAAGTACTTCATCTTTGACTTCAGAAAACTCTCAGTAGTGACCAAAAAATTGGGAAATAAAATTCATAGGTCCCTTGGAAACCATAAAAAAAAAAATAAAATCATTCAAAGTAAATATCAGTCTTAAGGTACATCTCTATAATGCATTCTTCAGATTAAGATCATTACAGATTAGAGACAACTATTAATAAGATTAACGTAAGCAACTTGTTCTAGTTGTTGAAAAACAACTTTTTTTTCCCCCCAAATAAAGGATGTATTTGTTGTTCTCTGATAAGGAAATAGTTGAAAGTTTCTTCACGTAGCAATGACAGATCATGTAAGGCATGGAAAATGCTAGTTCACAGCAATGAGAGCTAAGAAATACAGAAAACTTAAAACTAAAAAAGCCTATTTTGTCACTTGTTCAGAGAGCTGCTCAAACTCTTCCCTTGTGATCTGCCATCTCCTAGAACTTCTTGTCCAAATATATCCAGTAACACAGCACTTTGCAAGCAAAGCAACTCCAGCTTCGAGCTGCACGTTCAGTCTTCCAGATTATCAACCTATACTCAATTCTTTTCATGACATGTGTCACTCATTTCAATAATTTCTTTGTGAAATTTAGTGAAATTTATAATAGCTATTCATTTTTTAATTGTCTTAAAAACCATTCCTGACAGAAATGGAACGAGGTTTCTATAAGCAACAATGATAATGAATACACCAAGAGAGACCAAGTTAGCCAGGGTGGGGGTATCTGCTCTTTGTACTAATGGAAATATTCCCTTCCTGGGGGCATGAGAATAGTCTTGGTACCGTAACAGCTACTGTGTTAACTTACTGCTTTCAGACTGCACCTCAGCACAACAAAATTTGGATTATCTGAAGTTTATGCATTTGTATCACATGCAAATACCATAAGTGAGTGAAATAACTCTGAACTCGATCATATGCAGCAGGCAGAGGAAAACTGAGAGGCTTTCTGCAAGAGCAGAGGAAAGGCAAGAGAAGCACAGCACAGAGGAAAACTGCACGTTGTATCAGGACTCAAGAGCCCATAACCACAGTAAAAAGAACCAAATGTCACAGGCAAGCAACAGCAGAGCACAGACCCAATACACACAGATGTACCATTGTTCATCCATATCACATTGTACCATTTATTTCTGACTGGCTGGATACCAGGAGAGCCTTCAGGGCAAGAGGAGACAGAGCTCTGTTCAAGAGCTGGAGTGACATTGGTCCATTTGGGAGCTATCGGCACAGAAGTAAACAGAAAAGCCTGGAAACGAGGTTAAAAAAAAAAAGGCAAGGAAACCTAACTATGCAGGACAGTCTTTAAGTAGGAGTAGCAGTGTTAAATAAGGACCCATTGCTTAAGAGAAATCTATGCATGCATGTTACTCTTCTACTTCTTGCCTGTTAAACTCCCACGAGCTGTAACATCTTATCTGCATAAGGAATCTAAATTGATCTTTGAGAAGTTTCCTAGCGATTGCTATTTCACTTGAAAAAGTGACTTGTTACAGCTCTTGACAACCAAGTCCTTTACCACAACACATGCTGGGTGAAAGGAGCACTTGGTAAGCAGAAGCAATGGATGGGAAGAGCTTTGTATTAGCTTCACTTCCCATGAGAAGGGGTAGGAACCTATTATAAGTGCAGTTTGTCAGCAGGGAAAAACTGCAGCACTGAAGAGCATGAAGACCTGCAGAACAAAGATGCAATGGCTGAGTACATCTCTTCAGTACAGGAAATTTACATATTTTATAGGATTTATGTTGAAACCAGCTTACTTGAAACACTGATCTGGGGCAGAGAGATGCAGACAGTTGGTTCTTGTTAACTTTCACACTTCTAGGAGGGCCAGGACTACACGAGCATGTAGACAAGAAGCTGCCTCCTGGTGGGAAGTCAGACCCTTTGGGGTGTTGGCAGGGCCATGAGGCCAGTGCTTGCTCTGCTGCTCGTGCCCACACACTGCCTCGCGCTGCCAACACAGAGCTCAGGTTTCAGGTAGCAAGCATTTAAGACTGATACTGGTTTAAAGTAAAATTCCCTAAGATGCAATCTTTTACATCTCCCCTTTTAGCTAGTGCTTTTGTCCTTGTTAATACCGTAACAACCTTTCCCCTTGTATTATCAAGGGAAGTTTTCTGTTTAAATCCATTTATTTTCACGCATATAGCCCACAAGCCTGCTGTGAAACAGTTTATTTCAGCAGCACCGCATATATAAGTTTTTTCCTTTCTAAGCAGAACCCTTCTCCTCAGCCCACGGTAGAGCAGAGCCCTTTCCCCCACCCTCCAGACATGGAGCACAGTTTTTCCTTTCGATGGCAGAGGGTCTAATGTGTTTTCCATTCTCTGCTTTGGCAAGTGGTAGTCCTCTCCCTTGAATATTTGATCTCATGCAGACATAACAAGATTACAGTAAATGGGGGGAGGGCAGTCCTTGCCCCATAAGAATGTTTACTGTACATATACCCACTGTACATATAATTACTTTTTGCAAATACTGTTATTACCCTAGTAGAGGGATGCATGTGTTGGGGTATCACCCGAAGTTGCTCTTGGCCTAATAAGCATGAGCTCAAGCTAGCAGGAAAAGCAGGATATTTCATGTAGAACACAAACCAATCTGAACCTAGGGCCAAAACTATTAAGCTTAGGTGCTCAAATACAAGGACAGAGCAGGTGTTTGCAGTCTACGCTACTAAACCAAAACTGAGAGCAACATCAAAGTACACGCCTGAGTAAATTATCTAGGCATGCCAATACTGGGTACCTAATGTAGACAAAAGTTTCCAACTTAAGTTAAAACTAACGCTTTAAAATCAAACAAACAGAACCAAAAACAAACCAACAGACAGTTACTGGCCTTGCCAGGACTGCCTTTGCACTAAAGGCAATACAAACCAGCTAACTGTTCAGGTACTTCTGTGACACTTCCATGGGCCATCGTGTAAAGCATTTATCTGTGAGATGCTCTGACAGCTGCTTGCTGGAGGAAGCACGCCAGACTAAAACTGTGGGCATGTAAATTCTGTTCTGCTTCTGTCCCTGACTGCTCACCCAGACGATGCATGTGAATGTGAGCTGGGCACAACACCTTCTGACCTGTGTCAGTGTCTATTAAACATGACCCGAGGGTCTGTGATAGCATTCGTGTAGAAACCATACATGGTTTGCTTAGAGTGGAGTGGAACTTCCACTTAAGGGCCTAAGACCTACACAAAGGAAAAGGATGCAATCCAGGAGGGAAAAAGATAGATGACCTCCCCAGTGCTACACAGCAGGTAAGTGCTACAGCTCCAAACTGATTTCAGGTCTTTTTGACCCTTACTTAATGTCCTGTGCCCATTTAGGAAACGCTGCCCCCGTGAGCACTTGTAAGAGAATAGCGACAGGTGACATAGAAAAGCTGCAAAACAAATTAAATAAAATGTCAAGGAGGACTTTGCTGAAAGCTTCTCATGGCAGTTGCAATTTGTTTAGCAGACAGCATTCAGAAAGGACTCAGAACATTCTCTTCAATGCTACAGCTCCTTACTCAGACACCTCTTGAAGATCATGTCTTCCTTAACAAGTTACTTTTTCCTTTATGAAATCTCTTCAGATATGTTTTCCCCTACTTGATATATCTTCTGCCTACAGCTGCCACTGTTTATTTCCACTTCTCAGAATCATAAATCACAACATTCCTTTCTGACAATATCGACATAATTGCATTTCTCCAAATGAAAAGCAAGTTACCTGACCTTAACAGGCATCCTTCACCACAAAACCTTCACAAGTCTTTAGTTATCATTACATGCCACACGAAGAACGATTTAATCAATACTGCAACTTTTCTTCACACTACTTCTTCAAGGTGGCGTGACAGGGATGTCTCTAGGTGTCTGTAACATACTTAGGCTGGTGTTTTAGCACAGTTTCAGTAACATTTATCACAGAGTAGAAAGAGTACAGGCTTTTCCATTTCAGTGGTGCAGGAGGTTCCTCAGAATCAAAAATGTTTTTTATACTGGTTTTCTCCCTCCTCCTATCCCTACAAAAGTAAATGAGCTTTGGTTCTTCTTTTACATCAGAGCTCAGAGATTACTACAGACATACTAAATTATCAAATAAAAGTTATCAGGAAATCTATGTCACTTTGTTTAACAATCAATTCCAAATGATAAAAAAGGAATGACTGAAAAAATGTAGCTTGTATTCATATAGATGATAAAGTCCAGGCAGCTTAACCCATCAGCATATAACTACCTTTTCTTAGCTCACCTTAACCTACAAGATAATACTACTTAATCTGTGCTTTATTTGAGTCAGATAAGCTTTAGGTTTAGACATTTTTGTTTTAGATGTGTTTATTTTTACAAACACTCTCTAGAATGCAATGCTGGAAGCTCAGCTTCTGTGCTCTGTGCAACTGAGTACCCAGGGACAGTTTTCTGTTATAAATAACAATTACAATTCAAGTTTGTCTTCACTACCCAAAGAGAACAAATCACCACTCCAACAGTAGGGACAGGGCAAGAAAGCACTCTTTGGACACATAACGCAGCTCGGGGTTTATTTTTATGCATGATTTTAAAATTGTAAAGCCTTGTGAAAAAGGCAGAGTGGGGAGTTTGATATTTTAATCAGCACTGAAATAAAACCCATAACCTTACCGAGCGAAATAGCCTTGTCTTCGTTCCTTCTTCTCTTCCTTGGTCTCCATTATGTGCACTCAAATGGGCAAGGTGAGCGGCCGGGCGTGATGCTCTTCTTCCCCTCAGTACCTCATATCCAGGTAGAGCTCCCTGTATATAACATTTACAAACAGGAAGTTCATAAATCACCACGTCAACAACACCTGACACAGCGACAAAGCAAAGTAAAACTTTAACTAGTCAATGCTTGTCATGCAGCATCAATTCAGTACACAGTATGACAAAATACAATAAATGCACTCAGGCCAGTTTCCCCAGCACAGAAGGAGGCATACTACAAAGCAGGTAATCCAAAGAGCAAGTTGTAAAACCCTGGAAGGATTCAAGTCTTCTGCAAGTTTACACCAAAACATCTTCTTGTGTGTAGGAAGACTGAGACTGCTCAAAAACATCCCATAGAAACAGTAAAACCAGACTTTGTAATAGTTCTTTAAAACAGTGAAAAATCAGAAGGTTTAAGAACAATGGAGAAAAGAAAAGAGTAACCGAGCTTCTTTATACAAGTTTTACTGTTGGGAACAAGACACACGTTCAAACAGGCATACAGGGAGAAGGCACGGGACCGACCTCCTGCTCTGCAGAGAAATTGCAGAAGCGCTGTCAGACCTGTACACCAGGAGGTGGGAGTTGTAGAACGGCTCGGCGCTGCCTGCAGTTAGTGACATGCCACAGCAACTGCTTTCAGACAATCCTGCCAGCAAGGTTCATCCCCTTCCCCTCCCCAATATACATTCAGGCCACCCTGATGGCTTGTACACATGCATACCTTAAGTTAACTTCTTCAAAGTTATTATTTTTTTAATCAGTACCCCAGATTAAAGTTTAAACCAGAAGTTACTACTGAACATTTGAGTCTAATGGACTGTACAACAAAGAAATGGAAATCACGTAACTGATGATTCACAGAATAACAATTCCTCCAGACCTAATCAGCTCCCATTATTTTTTTCCCTGCATTAGAAGACCACAAGCTACAAGCCACCAGATGTCAACAACAGAGATCACATAGTAACAATGGATTAATCTATTTGAAAACCCAAAGAGCATATCGTGCTACATTCTTTCAGAAATACTTGCCACAACATTTTCTCCTCATTCATGGAGCCTCGAACCACGGCAATTAAAGTCCATTGCTTCAAAACGCACATCCCTCACTCATTAATTTTGCACACAGCCAGGAGACCACAAGGAATCTGATTTCTCTGATCTCTGTGCATCAGGCAGGGCCTTATTCTAATGGTCAGTATGTGACAGCACTCTTTGCATGGCAAATTTGCCTATGACATCTTCGGTTTATAAATAGAAGATTCCTTTATCTCCGCAAGTTAACGCATGCTGCAGGGCTCCAGCAGAATGCAGATGTCTAGCAGACAGCAGCCTGCTCTGCCGGCCAGCCTACGTAAGGGCATCGCACACCTCCCCAGAATTTAGGCACATCCCCACCCTCCCTGGTGAGAGAGAGGTAGGCTCTCAGGCCTTCAAAACGTCAAAAACCATTTCTGTTAGCACTGCAAGGAGAGTTACAAAAATCTTCCAAAAGCACACAATTGCCACCTCCATGGCAAACTACATGAAGCTCAAAGAAAGCAGCAGCTTTCCCCTTTCTCCTACCCTCCCCCTACCACACGCTGTGTGTGCACAGGAGCACTGAGCGGTCATGTCCGAGTCTCACGTTGTTATCAAGAACTACCAAATGACCAGAGCAGTGAGACAGTACTGATACCACAAACAGAAGGAGCACAGAGGGACCCACGGGGATGGGAACAGGGAAGTGTCAAGGGTCCCTCAAACAGGACAGCTGGAAAGCACCGCATGAATGGCGGGATGCCAGATCTCTCCCTGGGGCCTCACCCTGTGCAAGAGGCACACTCCATCCATCCCTTCTCTTCCTCTCCCATGGTTTACTGATCCCACCCCACAGAATATCTGCTCCAGCACGTCGCTTCCAGATGAAGGGAGCATCACTGACCAGGGAGCCAGGAGGAGAAAACCCTGCCTGCCCACAGCCCTGCCCTGCCAGTGCAGGAGCAGCACCCCCTGCTGCAAAAGGGGGGCGAGGAGAGGGGCAGGCTGCTGGGAGGGCTTCTGCCTGGAGCTGCAGCAGGTGCCAGCACGAAGCAACCTGCCCACCCTGAGGTCTGCTGAACTCAGAACAGATCAGAGCAGGGCGCTCAGCAAACAGGAGCCTTGTCCATGGACCAGAGGGAACAAAGTAATTCAGGGGAAAATGGCTTATTTTGGGACTTATTTATTTCCTTTGGAAATAAAAATACACAGGGGTCTTGTATCCTGTAATCAATTACTAGAAATTCTCACAATAAAATAATTTAACATCAGTCCCAGTCCGTTGACTTAAAACTTATTTAGCTTACCTTCTTAAAAGAAACAAAGGAATTATTCTAGGAAGGTCTATTTAAAGTTGAAAATTATACTTTGAAAATGTTTTCTTTCAGTACCAGGAAGAGCAAAACGATTTGTACAGCCTTCATGACCTCTGAGTTTATTTTTGTTCTTTGTAACCTTTCATGTACTAGTTAGCTTTAAGGAAAAAAAAATGCAAGCGAGGACCACAGAGTAGCACGCAGTGATTGCTACTAAAAGCAGTGTTTTTGAAATGCCCTTTTCAATTTTTAGTTAAGTAGGAGTACAAAAGCAGCATCTACTTCGTAGGTTTTCAGTGGTATTTTAAAGTCAATCAGAAAAAGCAAACCAATTCCACGCTTCACCCCTACCTGTCCTTCATAATCTCCCAATTAAAAAAAAAAAAAAAAAACAAAACACAACACGGGTACTCTTTATTGATATTAACTGCTTAAAATGTTATTATGGATACATGATTAAAACGAATCTTGGCTTCCTAGTAGCTGTTCTGTGTTAGAGATGAAGATCGAATTGGGCAGACTATTAAACATGTATATATTTGGGGAATGTTTCTACGCTGGGAGACAGCCATGTTACTCATAGATCGTGAGTACAGTCCAAGCCCAAATGATGACAAAGCTGATTTTATGGAAATTTCAGGCTCCCTTTAACCCTCTCTACACTGAAGCAGAAATAGATAGAGACTATTTTCTTTTATGTGTCTACAGCAATGCTAATTCTTTTACTAGATAACTTCAAAAGGAAAGATATTCCTGATGCACAATGTATTTATGTAAGCATCCTGTTAGAAATCTACTGCTCTCCAAATTGAGCAGTCAGGTACCATCTCACCTAACAATTACAGGAAGAAAAGAACAAAACACTTACAAATACACTATGTTTTGCCGTTAGTCCTAGTGCTTTGGACTTTCTCGTTTAAATTAGCATATTTTTGGATCCTTGCTCCTTTGCCTGTTTAGGCATGCTGCTAGGGCTCTGCTGAGGACTGCCGCTTGCTCTGCTCAGGGGTTAAGAGCCCAGAACTCCTGTTTGCTGGCTCTGAAGCAGCAATCGCCAGTCCTGCAATTGTGAGCATTATTTTCCAAAACCACGCACATGAACCACAGCACATTCCGCAGCACCAGCAACGCAGGAGCCAATGAAGTATCTGATTAATTTGAGAACATTCAATGGGCCTGATAGCACATTGTTGGCCATCTGTGTCGACTGCAAGTCCTGGAAAGACGCACAGAGGAAAAAAAGGAAAGCATAAAACTACTAGAGAGTGCCCAAAGGAGGGCTATGAAGATGGTGAAGGCTCTAGAGAGCAAGACGTATGAGGAGCAGCTGAGGCACCTTGGTTTGTTCAGCCCCGAGCAGCGCAGGCTGAGGTGAGGCCTCATGGCGGCCTGCAGCTCCCTCACGAGGGGAGCAGAGGGGCAGGCGCTGAGCTCTGCTCTCTGGGGACAGCGACAGGACCCGAAGGGAACGGCATGGAGCTGGGACAGGGGAGGGTCAGGCTGGGGGTTAGGGAAAGGGTCTGCACCCAGAGGGGGGTTGGGTACTGGGACAGGCTCCCCAGGGCAGCGGTCACAGCATCAAGCCCGCTGGAGTTCACAGGTGTTTGGACAACACTCAGATACATGGTCTGATTTTGGGTGGTCCTGTGTACAGCCAGGAGTTGGACTCGATGATCCTCGTGGTCCCTTCCAACTCAGGATATTCTGTACTGTAAAATCATGCAAGTCTCTTTCTGTCTCTCTCTCTGACCCTGCTGTGCCAGTCTCTCTCAACCTTTTACCAGGTAACAAAACGCAGCAGTTCCCTATTCTGCAAATGGAGAACCGAGATACAAGAAGTACCCTCTACACGCTCACACGAGCCCAGAAGAGCAATGTGCACAAGTATCCTCCCACTACCTTTAATCCGAGCAGCCCCAATAACAAACAGCAATGAGCACAAAGGAGGAGACCAACCTGACAAGGAACCAGCTATTATCGTCACCATAAAATTTGAACCGACAAGCTACAGAAACCCATAGCACAGTCTCATCTTTATTTGGCTCTGTGGCAACTACAGCTCAGGTCCACAGGAGGAAGTAAAAAGCCCCAGTTCCTCTGTGGATCTAGGTTCAAATGGTTCTCCTAACTCCTTCAGGTAGAATTGAACCAAACTTACGAAAACCAAATCAAAGGCAGGTAGCATCCTGTACCTTAGCAGGGGCTCCACACGGCAAGAGTGATGGCAGCAATCACACCGTGAAAAGATGACAGAGGCGGCGAGAGGCCTAAGCACAGGTTTTCCATCACCAGAGAAGCCGAGCTGACACGGCAGAAAGCTCCCGTCAGGCTGAGGACATAGCAAGGACAGCCCGCTGTGCAGAGGAGCAGCACGTGTCCCACGGGCACGCACCACAGCCCACACCTGCTCTCTGCTGCTGCGTCCCTCGCACAACCTGCTTCTTATTTCTGCTTTCTTGCTTTACCTCTGACCCTGAGACTACAGGCAAACAGCACGCAGCCACTCAGGCAACTACACGTTTCCTTACTGTGGTCTGCTGCCACACAAACATCCCAGCGCTGCCTCCCGTCAGTCTGGGGCATGAACCATCACCGATGACTCTGCCCAGCCCCACAGCACAGCATCTTCTTACACCACTTCTGGGTAGGGGTGGCCCTTCTGGCCCCTAAAAGAGTGCACCATGAGAGGTGATGAGGATTACACCAACA